AGCGGACTGCTTTTATTTCATTCTTATCATCCTCGCCGCGATTTGGCAGGGCTGCCCCGGTGCGCGTTGCCTCGGCCGTCCCGCGTCCGGCGCACAGTGGGCCAGAAGACCGGTGGAGGCGGCAAAAACTCCAGACGCGTTTTGAGCTCCGGAGTCGCTCAACAGGACTCGAACCGAACGTGTGACCCCGTCAATGGATTGCTCTCCGAACGAGGAATCCATTGGTGGGGTCACACGTTCGGTTCGAGTCCCATTTAGCGACTCTGGAGCTCAAAACGCGTCCGGGATTTTGGCCGCCTCCACCGGTCTTCTGGCCCACTGTGCGGCAGGGCGGCGTGCATAGCTTCTGTCTCTCTCGCTCTCTGAGCGGCTACGCGTGTGTCAGTGCGAGAGAGATGGAGCGAGACCGACGACGGTGGCCGGGATTAGCCAGACTGCCAGTAGTGAGAAGAGGGTGAAAAAAATGGGAGCAATTTTAATAACAGGGGAAAAACAGGGGATATACAGCGGGAATTTTGGGAGCGGAGCGACCAAAAAAAACGTACCCAATTTCGGGCTAGCGTTTGCGCCCTGCGCGGGATGTAAGCCGGTCCTTGGGGGTTGAGGCCTGGATGTCCGGTTTTCATCAGCACCCTCGAAAGCCCCATCCCACAAAACAATGCCCCACACTGTGAATAAAAAGAATGTTCAAAAATACTCCGCTGGGATTTGAACCCGGGTCCGAAGTTCTCCGATTCGCTCGAAACTGGCACCATTGGTTTTCTCTCGTCGCCCCGATTTCAAAAATACCCCTACATGCCCTCCTAGCTGCATCCGTTGCCGAGATCCTCCTCGACCCCAAGTAGACCATGATGCACCTGCAGCAGCGCCCCCGGGGCTCGGATCGGATTTGCTGCCACCGGGCGGTTCTTAGGGTCACCCAAGGAGGCTGCATACCGAATTTGGTCAAGATCGGACCACGGGAAGTCCTCGGACGGACGGACGGACGGACGGACGGACGGACGAACGAACGGACGCACAGCAGGGATCATACTATATGCCCGTCCCTCCGTCATTTTTTTACAAAAAATAAACGGGACGGGCCAAAAAGCAGGTGTGAAAGAAACACAGGCGGTAGTGCAGCGCAATTGGCAGCGGAGCGACAAAAAAAAACACAAAGTCGATTCCGAGGTGACGTGCTTTACGGTGTAGGCGCTTTGCGCTCGCTGGCCGCGGGGCCACTGTAATGGCGCGGTCCATGTGGTGGTGTTGCCCCTGCAGGGCCTGGGGGGGGGGGGGGGGGGGGGGGCTGTCCGGTCCACTTTACACAAGCAGGGCCCGGCGGACCCCCGTCGAAGAGCTCCCCCGTGGCACTGCCCCTGGGACCGGAGGACCGGGGACGGGGAGCGTAACCCACCCTGCTCACTGCACTGTGAACGAAACGTCGTCAGTGACTTAGTTACAGTGTGCTTCAACAGACTGAGTCTGCGGGTGCGTCCCGTAGGGGTGAGAGAGAGACAGCGACGAAAGCTCTGCTCGGAATCAGACTGCAGGGCCTCAAGCATCAAGTTAGGGGTTCCAATACGCAGCCTTGGGTTGGCTTCGCATCCGTATCATAGACGGGTTAGTTGGTAGCGCTCAGGGGGGCCTGACCCACGGTGGGCCCCTGTCTCAACCCTGTGGCCAGGAACATCCTTTTACAACTGAGATCAATGTATTCCAATTTGGTTGTAACCTACAAAAGTTTCTCGTACGTTGCGTACTGGTACACTAATAAGAAGGGACATGTCCGCGTGCGGGTCGCACCGGCTGTTCGTGGCTGTCGCACTGCCGACGCTGGCGAGTCGTTTACGCGACACTGGCAGCACGGCGGCTGCAGACTGATTCCGAGAGTCGTCGCTCTGTCTCTCTCGCACTTGTGGGGCGCCCCGTGTGGGTGCGAGAGAGACAGGACTCTCAGAATCAGTGCGCCGGCCCGCGCTCTACTTGGCCGCTCGAGGCGCGGACCGCGCAGAGCACAGTGGGCCAGAAGACCGGTGGAGGTGGCCAAAACTCTAAACGCGTTTTGAGCTCCAGAGTCGCTAAATGGGACTCGAACCGAACGTGTGACCCCACCAATGGATTGCTCTCCGAACGAGGAATCCATTGGTGGGGTCACACGTTCGGTTCGAGTCCCATTTAGCGACTCTGGAGCTCCAAACGTGTCTGGAGTTTTGGCCGCCTCCACCGGTCTTCTGGCCCACTGTGCAGCGTGCCGCCTTGTGCCGCTTGCAAATCCACCTGCCCGTGCCTGCCGGCCGCGGCCCTCGGACGGAGAGCCGTTTTCGTCGCTCTGTCTCCCTCGCACCTGTACGGGACGCCCCGTGAGTGCGAGAGAGACAGACTGCTGCCGGAGCAAGCGCGGCGCAGCGCAGTGTGGCGCATGGTGTGCCGTGCGCCACACACGCACCGGCCGTGCCGCGCCTTGCCGCGCCCGGCGGCCGGTTAAATTGATATCGGCGTGCGCACGCGTGCCGTGCCGTACCCCGGCAGGCTTCGCCGGGCTGGTGCGGCAGGCCTGCCGGCTGGCCTGGCGTAATTCAATCAGAAAAAGGCAGCACAAAAGGCGGTCGCCGCGCTGCGCCGCTCCGCGCCTTGCCGACGGCGCGGCCCGCGCGCGCCGTCCTTGGGCGTGGACCCCGCGGACGGCGCTGCCCGGGGGCGGGGCGGGGCACAGTGGGCCAGAAGATCGGTGGAGGCGGCCAAAACTGTAGACGCGTTTTGAGCTCCAAAGTCGCTAAATGGGACTCGAACCGAACGTGTGACCCCACCAATGGGTTCCTCGTTCGGGCAGCAATCCATTGGTGTGGTCACACGTTCGGTTCGAGTCCCATTTAGCGATTCTGGAACTCAAAACGCATCTTGAGTTTTTTCCGCCTCCACCGGTCTTCTGGCCCACTGTGCGGGGCGGGGCGCGGCGCCTAAAGTGGCGAAGAGACTTAAACGCGGGAGCGAGCCGAACCGGGGGCGGTACCCCACGCGTGCCCGTTGTCCGGTCGGCTCTTCCGCGCGCTCTTCCATTGCTTTGGAGTTTGGGGAGAGATACGCACAGTGGGCCAGAGGACCGGTGGAAGCGGCCGAACCCCCGGACGTGCGACCCCATCAATGGATTCCTCGTTCGGAGAGCAATCCATTGGTGGGGTCACTCGCTCGGTTCGAGTCCTTTTTAGCGACTCTGGAGCTCAAAACGCGTCTGGAGTTTTGGCCGCCGACGTCGGTCTTCTGGCCCACTGTGATGTGGGTGCCGGGCAGCAGGCTGAGATTGGCAACCATGTGTACCCTGGTAGTAGGAATTTTCGTCTACCCACTCCTATCTTGCAGTTCTGTTAGCCATTCCGCACAGTACGTCGTCGCTTTGTCTCTGTCGCACCCGTGCGGGACGCCCCGTGAGTGCGAGAGAGACAGAGCGAGGCCTGCTTTTGGCCGCCCCAGGCGTCGGTCCGGCCCGTCGGAGCGAGATGGATGCCTGTCTCTGTCTGTGAAATTTCACGCCGTTTGACGCGGCCCGCGTCGTTACAAGCCCCGCTCGCGCCTCGCCACCATAAACCGCCACGTTGACGCGGCCGTCGCCCTGTCTCTCTCGCACTCGCGGGGCGTCCCGTCAGGGTGCGAGAGAGACAGGGCGACGCTGGGCGGACCGCCGCCCAGATTAACCGACACCAGTTTAGCCCGCAGGAAATGTGTGGCTAGGGAAGGGCGGGGCCTGTTTCGATCCATCTATCGATCTATCTTGTATCGGAACTTGCATAATCGTTACATTTGGCTCTGGGCAGTGCGGCACCGCAGGCCAGCAGGCACCACCTCGCCTGCTGGCTGGGTGGACAATGGGGGTCCCGCCGGGCCGCGGCAGCGAAATGATGATAAAGAAGGGGAAAAAAAGAAAAAGAGAGAAAAGTGGCGCAGGAACGGGGTAGGCGGCCCCCTTTGGACGTGGAGGACCTTGTCCTCGCGGACTGCATTTTCGCGTCTATCTGCACTTCTTCATTTTTAAAAAAATAGTTTTGAACGCCTTTCTCTTCGACCATAAATAGCAAGCGTCTCTAAATTTTTCCCTTTTTGGTCCAGTTATTTTTTTTCATGCTGACTTAATATTTCGACGGCCCCTATTCAAAAGATCTTATCTGGGCGCTCCTATTCAAAAAATCTTATCTGCAACGCACGCGAATTTCACTATTTTTGACTTGGACGGAAAACGGGGGACCGGCAGATTTACTACACCAGTATCATTCTTGGATGTTTCATGGTCAAGTTTGGACCAACGATCCCAAATTATTTTGATTTGTATCGGAATTGATAAATTGGTGAAATTTGTTTCTTTGCAGTGACCGGATCTTTGACCACCTGCGCCTGCACTGTAAACCCAATGGTGGATCCACTTGAAATGCGGAGGAGCGAATTCAGTCCAAACACTTGGAAGTGCAGAGTTGCAGTCTCCACACTAAACGGGAGTTGCCCTTTGCACCATGCTAAAAGATAGGGGCCATGTGCTGCTCCACACTTAAGTGTGGAGGCTTTAAAAATGCACTTCCAAGTGGAACTTACTCCACCATAAATGGCGTTGTCCACGTTTGGTTTCACAGTGCAGATAAGATCTTTTGAATAGGACCCCTCGATTTGTGGTCCTCTTGTCTTTCTTTGTGTTCGCAATTGAACTTGTTTTTGGGATCCACCTTGCGCAGTAGGCCAGAAGACTAGTGGAGGCCAAAATTCTAGACGGGTTTTGGGCTCTGGAGTTGCTAAATGAGGCTTAAACTGAACGTGTGACCCCACCAATGGATTGCTCTCCGAACGAGGAATCCATTGGTGGGGTCACGCGGTCGATTTGAACCTCTTTCAGCGACTCTGTAGCTCAAAACGCGTCTAGAGTTTTTACCGCCGCCACCGGTCTTCTGGCCCACTCACTGTCCTGGGGGTTGTCCCACTTCTGAAAAAATAAATATTTGGACGAACGGACGATTAATTACCCGTGTTGTATGTTGCAGAAAACCTGTCGCCGTCCGAGCTGAAGAAGCTCCGCAACAAGCAGCGCAAGGCGCGCCGGAAGGCCGAGCTGGAGCAGCAGGAGAAGGCCGAGAGGGCGGAGAAGCACCAGAACAAGCGGCCGCCCGGCGAGGAGCCCGACGCGCCGCAGCAGGACGAACTCATCCCGGACAAGCTCGCCAGGGTAGGTAGTCTCACTAGTGATCTGGATTGGGTGGGCGGTGAGACCCGATGACTCCAGAGCGACTCTAGAACTCGGCCCGTGAATGCAGTGCCGCCCGCAGACACTGCCGACGGGCAATCATAGGCCCTACGCTAGCCTGTTGGCAGTGTCTGCGGGCGGCACCGCATTCACGGGCCGAGTTCTAGAGTCGCTCTGGAGTCATCGGGTCACACCGCCCACCCAATCCAGATCACTAAGTCTCACTGCCAATGCCAATTAAATCAAGGGAAATACTACACTCTAGTCGAATTTGTAACACACCAAAATTCGTCAAAATTTTGAAATTTGCTAAAATTCATCTAAATTTTTCCTAAAATTCAGGAGTCGTTTTTCACGAAATTCAACTCAAATTCATTTGACGTGTACATCATGATTTGAAGTAATTTCTCCTTGAATGAAATGCTCACTTGGAGAGAAAACAAGACGTCAGTTGTGCTACGTACATAAGTAGCCAAAGATACTCTCAATGCACCGATGTCAAAAGGGTTGACAACCTCAGCCTGCCTTCCAGGCAACTTCTCGTCAGTGAAGCCAAGACAATGCCCACCCCACCAGGCAGGCTGAGGCTGGCAACCCTTCTGACGCAGGTGCATCGTGGGAACTTATGCCTGCTTTTCATGTCCGTAGCAGCACTAGCTGTGACTCACGAGGTGGGGAGGCGCCCGGTTGCTAGGCGACCCAACCGGCATGGCGGCGGGGAGCGCCGTGCGAGTAGGCAACCCAGCCTACGCGGGCACGGGGCGCTAGGCAACCCAACGCACAGTGGCGCCGGTGGCTTGAAGTTCCGACGCGTGTTGAGCTCCGAGTCGCTAAGCAGGACTCGAACCATGCGTGTGACCCCATCAATGGATTCCTCGTTCGGAGAGCAATCCATAGGTGGGGTCACACGTTTGGTTCGAGTCCTGCTTAGCGACTCGGAGCTCAAAACGCGTCAGGAATTTTGGCCACCTCCACCGGTCTTCTGGCTCACTGTGCAACGTGCGCGAGCAGGCGTCTGTATCTGAATCGGTTTGTTGGTGTGTTTGCAGGTGGAGGACCCTCTTGAGCAAGCGATCAAGTTCCTGAAGCCGCTGCAGGACCTGGCCTCCAAGAACATCGAGACCCATCTCATGGCGTTTGAGATCTACTATAGGAAAGGTAGGTGAAGCAGTGTTTGGATTGGCACGACTTGGTTTGATTGCAGAGAAGTGCGTCATATTGCCTGTCGCAGTATGTGTGACTAATATATGTGTCTGTTTTACGCTCACTTGCAGGAAAACTGCTGCTCATGCTTCAGTCCATCAAGCGAGCATTCAACCTGGAGCCCAACAACTGTGAACTGCACACTTGCTTGGTACGCTTCGTAGAACTTGTATCATCAAAGTTGGACACACTGGAAGCCCCTGTCGCGGATGTCATCAAGCAAGCAATGGAGCCCATTACCAGAGGTCGCAGTGCCAAGCAGATGAACGAGGACTTCCTCAAGGAGAACAGCAATAATTTGGCTGCTCTTATCCAAGGTTTGTGTTTGCTCCGTTTACAAGTTATGTTGGTGTGCGTCATGTTAGTGCATTTTGATCAAAACTTTGACATGTAACTTTCACTTGCAGGTGCACGTATGATGTATGCCTTAGACCAAAGTAGACAGGAAGAAGCTATCAAATTAGCAACGACACTAGAGAAGGTGCAAGGGATCAATATCAAGGTACAACCTTTTCTGTTGTTAACATTTCAATGATGTTATCCTTCTTCTATGAGTTAATGACTTTTATTTTTTTAAAATTTCAGAATTGTTCACGAGTTCTACAAGCACTACAAGCTGGTGATTTTGGATCATGCTCCCAGCATTTAGAAGAATATAAGAAAAGGTGTCACAAGATTATGATATATGCCACACTTTTCCGACCCCCACCTCCACCCGTACTGACCGAAATTGGCTCTAGTGATAATACCTCTTTGGAAATACCAGTCCCAGAAATTAGTAACTAAAACACCAACTCTGTCCACTCCCAATGTGTCTCAAGTGAAATGACTTCCAAGGACTCTACCTATTTTGATTTTTCATGACACTTTGTCATGCGTGTTTTTGAATTTAGTTTGCTCATATGTAAGTGGGCTTAATGTTTGAGCAGTGGTTGATGTCTTCTAACTATTTGTTTTTGATGTTGTCTCTACCAGGGCTGTCTTCAAGATAGCTCAGAACTTTGTTCTAAAGGAGAAGTCTGTTCATGTGTGATTTGAGCCTGCATGTAGGCCAATAATAGATCTAAGTCAACCCAATAAAGTGTGATATCTGACATGTCCATTGCTCTCCAGCCAAATATCTTAGCACAGTTATTATGATAAAGAACTGCAAGTCACAAACATTGTTTCACTCTATATTTTATCATTCATATCGTTCTTTGTTACCTTCTAAATGAAATCTTAAAAAATGACAAGATGATTTGAGGTTTTCTTTACTGCTCGTCTTTCTTCTCTCTTTGTAGAAGAAGTGGTTTGCTCATTTGTATACCCCTTGGTCGGTTGACATGACTCATATCTTCAACTTTCTTGTTTGGTACATTGAAGTTGATTTGAGACTGAATCTTTGTAATGCAATTGTAGAGGTGTTTCAATATTAGTGACTCTCCTGTCCGATTCATTAATGCCTTCGTACCATGACCATATTTGTACATTGAAGACACTTAATGTTCTCAAGTTTTTAAATTTCTAAATTTGTATCATCATGGATCTCAATAATTTCTGATCAAAAGACTTTGGGTCTTCAATTTTGTGCATTTCCACATAATTCCTTCCCCACCATCTTGTTTTCTCCTTTCTTTAGAAAGACAAATGTTGTGTTTTCATCCTTTTCATGTCATAAAATGTGGCTGTACATTTCTTTTAATTAATCAATTTCAGTTGTTATGACATTTCATTTCATTTAATCTTAGCTCCCACCGCAATATTTTCCTTCCATCATTGTGTGGTGGTTAACAGTTCCGTGTACACCTGCAAGCCTTTTTGACATGTGCTAAGTATGTTTGAAGTGCCTGCTGCTTAACATAATTGTTTGTAAAGTAAGAGTAATTCAAAACAAGGGTCTTTTATATCCTCTCTTCCTATTCTGGTCTTTTCAGAGGATGTGCAGAGCTGTAAGTGGTTACTTGTACCATAAATATGCAACTGTTCTTAATCTAGGCTGTTCCTCTCTCACTCTGCTTAGGGTCTACATTTCTTATGGAGATGTCGAGAGCACTTTGTTGTGCTGACTGGCCGAACGGGAAACAAGGTGCTAGTTTACTTGTTAAAATTTTATAGTAGCTCTGCGGAGTGAGAGAGGAGGGCTCAATATGTTTCATTGTGTCGTTGATCTGTGGTCAGTTAATGTAAAGATTAATTAAATAAAAAAATTTATAAAACTTGGATTTTGTCTTGTTAATACAGTAATTCTGGGTCGCTAGTGAGGAGATGTATCTTATCAAAAGTCACTTTCTTGTACAAAAACACATGTAAATATATTTTTTCTTCAAAACATCAAAGATTAATTTTTTCATGTCTAAAGAAGACTTTCATTGTGTTTTCATAAATTAGCTTAGATAATGATGATATATCAGTTTCTTTAACACTGGCAATTATTTCCATGACTTGTCTGTAAATTCAGTCACAAGGGTATTAGTTTTTGCATCAAAAGAATCTCCACTTAAGTTTCAAGCAGTATGAATGCAATCTACTTACATAATGTTAGCAGGCTCATTTCGACTTTTGATCATAGAACCACTTTGCCATTTTTCTTTTTTCACGCTGGGGAATTGAGTTTTGATGAGAGAGAAGCCAGCATGCCGTGGACGCACTTCGCACCAGGGACAGTCAGTCTCTATCATAAGGCGATCATTGGGTATTGTTTTCAAGACTTCTAAGTTTTCTTCAGTTTTCAAGGAACTAGAATGCAAAAAATATGGGCAAGATTAAAATCAACGGAACTTTTCACATCCATAGTAACAGATAAGAAGCTCACCAGCCATTGATGCCAATATGAAGACCTAACTCAGTGATGATATTTACATCTTCTTTGCTTCCATCAAAGGAGTGCACAACCCCTCCACATTCCTCAATCAAGGATTTGTGTTTTCCCATTATTTCCAAAAAGTCAGATGAAGCAGCCCTGCAATGTAAGAACATTGGCAACCGTAGTTTTTCATTGAGCTTCAGCTGCTCCTTAAAATACCTAGAAAAAAAATTATAAACAAAATTTAGTACATCTTGGTTTTTAGGGAGACTCGTAAACAGAGTATTGATAATTGTTACAAACTTTATCTGAGCATCTTTTGGTGCAAATTTTTCACGATCATAATCAAGCCCAAACTCTCCAAAGGCAACCACCTTCCCTTTATTTTGTATGCAGAGCTCTTCTAAACCACTCAGGTAATGATCAGGCTCTCCGTCTTTCTCAAACTCAAGACTTCGAGTCGGATGACATCCAACAGTGCAGTATAGTTTATCTGTTGGGTTTAATAGTATTAAATTTGAACCTCTTTTAAGAGCAGCTTAGAAAAAGCAGGAAAGACAGAGCAACTCACCATTCGTCTGAGCCAGGTCCAACGCTTTTTTACTATCTTCAAGACTCCCTCCAGTAATGATAATTTTGGAGAGACCCTGATTCCATGAACGATCCAGTACATCGGTCAAGTCTGGAGCATGTTTTTTACTGTCATGGTAAAATCCTTGGTACATAGGATCTGTGAGATTCGCCCCAATGTCTGAAATAGAAGAATTCTTAACTGAGAGAATGAAGAAAAAGGCAATGGTATATTTTTGGTACAGTTTTGGTCTGCTGTGGGAAAATACGAAACATGAAGAGGACAGCCCTTTGAAATTTTCACATTTTCCCTCATGCATGTCAGAGCCAAATCTCGATACGTACCTATAAATTTCATAGCGGTGGACATTATTTTCCTGATTCCGGAAATTTTCGACGTCAATTTACGCCCTTTTTTGAGAAAAATATTTTGGTATTAGGGGTTACTCTCTAGGGTTACTTTCACACGGTGATCACGCCTGCGAATAGCCACACACACTGTAGCCGGCCGAGGGTGAATAACGCTCACCCCTATTCACACAAAGCATTAAGCAAGCAAGCAAGCACTCTGTGACAGCATCAGACATTCACAGCACAGGACACAACTTCAAAAATTGCGTCTGAAGTTTGGAAAAAGCTCTTTCTGCATTGATATCTGTTGCCAGCACTCTAACTGTAAGTACTGTCCATGCTTCTGGTTTGGTTATTTTAAAAACATTTCCCTCCTCAAATGTCATGTGAGTGCATGTTACCCATGTTGCTTATTGATCTACCTTATTTGGTTCTGGTTTTTAACTTTAAATTCAGATTCCATTCAAAGTTTTATCTCCCCTCTTACTGTCACAGTGGTCCAAATTGGCTGTCAATTTCATCCTCTGACAATAATTATGTGCAACTTTCATTAACACATATGTAACCTTGCAGTTTATTTCACCACCCACATGGTACCAACAATTTGTTGTCTTTGTTTCTAGGTCAAAATGTGAAATAGCCCATCCCTTTCTAGGATGTAACAGATGCTGGACGTTCTGCCAGTCGGGTAAGTGCTGTATGAAGCATTAATGACCTGACCTTCCTCCATCTCATAGATATTGTTTTGTTTTATGATGATGTCTTTCCTTCTGACAGGAATAAACTGCTGTTGCTTCTTTTTTTCACCAACATCTGCGTACAGGATATTTAATATCTTGTCGTGGTTATCTTCTCGACGTGATGGACGCTTGTGATTCTGGTGCTCTCTCTCAGAGCTTTGAGAACTGCAGCATGGAAGAAGGCACTGGGAACAAGAATCAAACAGGGACATCAGTGAACAACAATATTTCGGCTAGTGGTGGTAACTGGATGCAAATGACCCAATCAGAAAAATCAAATCAACCATCAAATATTAATGATGAAATTGAAGATTTGCTATCTATGACAGTATCAAAGGATTATATTAACTGTGTTTGGACCAGTGAACCTGATGGCAAGAATGCTGTTGTTACCAACAATTTAGTCTCTGCAGATGTAACTTTAAACAATGGTGAGTCCTCCAATCATTCTGAAAATTTAAGTCCAAGTTCAATGCCTAAGGAAGAGATAGAACCATCGAAAAGTCCAAGTCAAATGCCTGAGGGAAAGACACAACAAGCTAAAAGTCCAGGTCAAGCACTTGCGGAAAAGAGTGAACCAGCTAAAAGCCCAGCCATTATCAGGAGGAAGAGGAAGCGGACTTCAAAGCCAAAAAGCAAAGCGGAAGATTCAGCTGCAACCAAAGCCACCACCATTCATGAAACTTCTAATCCAAAAAATTCCAATTTACTTGGGGAAGCTGCTGAAAACAAGCAAACTAAAACACGGCAGAGAGCGAAATCAGGGGAGAAGAAAGTTTCACTGGATGAAATTGATGTTGAATCTAAAGAATGCGCTGAGAAAAAGGATAAACTGTTCTCTGCCTACAAGCAATTTGTTTTGAATCAACCGGTGCCTCCTTACAACCCCAGCCTATTAAATAGCCGTTTCACTGTGGAGAATCTTCATGTCTGCAAAGCTTGTGGTGATAAGTAAGTTCTTAACAGCTTGTTTATTTTTGCAGTAGTCGGCAGATAAATTTTGAATTTTTTAAGTTGCAACTAACTCATAATTTTACTAACTTTGTTTTTGTTTCTTTTCCATATAGATTTGTACTGGAAACCAGTCTCCTTGGTCATATGTCCAGGAAAATTGGAAGATTGTCGTACAAGTGCCCAGTCTGTGAGGGCCGCTTATGTTTCAATAACAGGTGTGCTTTCCTAAATCATATAAAGGCTCATGGATTTAATCCTTCTTTCTTGAAACCTGGAGACCTGTCTATTTTGCCTCTTGAAGCCGATGAAAGTGAGTGTGATATCCTTTTCAAAGAAAGTTCCCTCAATCTCTCCAGCTGTCCAGAGTGTTCTGAGATGGTTGACTCTATCAAGTTGCATTTTGGTGGAGCAAATACTACAGAGAGAGTAAGTGGTGCTCTACTTTGTGAATTCTGTGGGTATGTCTCACCATCCAAGTGTGCTGCTTCTGCACACACTAGGTATCATAAAAGTGAACCCTCATTTTTATGCCCAGACTGCGGAGAAATATTTTTAAAGTCCTCTTCTCTCCTAAGTCATATGAAAACAAATTGTCACCATGACTCAAAAAGGACAGTATTTAACTGTTATCATTGTAGTGTGGTAATTCAATCAGTAGATGAATTTTTTGAACATTTGTTAACCCAACATGTGAGATCTGTGTACAGGTGTCATCTATGTGGAATTTCAGATAGATCTGTTGAAGATTTCAACACTCACAGAATAACTGAGCACAATTTGCCAGAACTTAATTACCTTGCAGGTACAGCTGCTTCTTGTACAGTTACCGAATGTGATTTATGTCCAAGTACTCTTATTAATGAAGCATCTGTAGAAGATCATGCCTCTTTCCACACCACTTATCATAAAAATGTACTAACAATATTTCAATGTGCGCCATGTGAGAGAAAGTTTGCTAGTAAAGCCCTCATAGTTGACCATCTACCCTCATGTCAAGGTTCTAAAGACTCTGCTTGTAATAATAATGTTATTGAGGGTGATTGGCCCGAAGTGCCTGAGTTCACGAACTCTGGTCCATCAGACAAGCTGATCCAGAGAGCATCAGTCACTTCAGAATTTACTCCCACTTCTGAAAGTGATGGCTTGAAAAATGTTTCTCTAATCCAACCATCAAAGTGGAGTCCCATCAATGACACAAAGTCACAAGAGACATGTGAAGAGGACAGTGAAGTAAAGTTAGACATCCCAGTGTCTCCCACAAATGTGCAACCTTCAAAAAAGAGTGTTGTTTGCAAAATTTGCAAGAAAGTAGTGTGCCATGGGGCTGATAAAGCTCTTATCAAGAGACATTTTTCTTCTGAGCACTTTGATATTTACATGAATGCAATTCATAGAGAAGTTAATGGACAGTTGACAAATCCAGCAGAAGACTATGTAATGAAAAGTGACCAGGAAATTGTAGATAGTTTTCTAAAATCTTTCACCAACAAAGATAATGTTCCAAAGATAAGATCAAAGAAAAGAAACGTGAAAAAGACTACCACCAAGATTACCAAAGGAAATGCTCCAGAAAAGTTTGGATCGAGAGCTCAAAAAGTAGGTCCTCAGAAAAATGTGAAAAAATGTTACAAATGTTCTTTTACAAGTAAGGATCTAAGGACTTTCAGATCCCACATTATTTTACACAAATCAAATGCATCTGAGCTGCAATGCCCGGAGTGTGGTCTGTGCTTCATAGTGCGACCCCCTCTGGAGAAGCACTTAATTGCGCGCCATGGTATCAAAAATGTTGGCAAATACCTATCTGACAATGGTTTTGAAGATCATGAAAGTGAGTTGGAATTGAGCGATAACGAAGATCAACTTATAAATGTTGAGTCAGATTCAGAGGTGTTACAAGAAAACCAGTGCAAAGTCTGTAAGGAAATATTTGAGAGTAACATGTTGCTTGAAAAACATTTCAGAACACATGGGGGAGCTTTCCTTCTCGCCAATCTGAAAGCCAAACGGTCAAGTTTATAACAAATCTTCTCTTTGTTAGCAATCCATTCCCTCCAGTAATTAAAGCAAAGGATCATAGAAAGTATTTTCAAGACTGTGTTTTAATTTCTTACTTTTAACCTGTTTAACTTTGTTTTACATTTATATTTACATATTCTATTCAGTTGTGTAACGCAACTGATCATCATAGTTCTCCTTTTCCATTTAGAAAAAAAAGGAAATGCTGCTGCTCTGATCAGGCTGTATATTTTTTATTATATAAAAGATTCTCCTCTTTACTGTAATATTTTATCAATATTTTAGCGTACTGGATGTGTACTTGTAAATAAGTATGAAAACTCAACATTGTACCTGTGAAAAAGCATATTTAAGTTCATTTTAGACGTGCATTCAACCTTTATCACCTGTTTTGTTAAATTTTGTTCAAACTAAGGTGATTTAAGCCATGCATATTTTTTTTCCAATGCCTTAGAGCTTTGTCTGTATAAAAGATAATGAGTGATTTATTATATTCTTATGAATTTCAAAAGATATGGAATAAAAATGTCAAATTTGATGTCCTGGCCAAATCTTAATTTTTTCTCACAGTCCTAATGATGGCACCATTGTGTCCAGAACATTTAGAGCTGCGGCATAAACAGGCAAATATTCCCACGATGCATCAGTGTCAACAGGGTTGCCTACCTCATGGTTTTGCTGTCGAGAAGGCAGCCTAGTAGGCAGGCTGAGGTTGTCAACCCTTTCGACGCTGGTGCATCGTGGGAATTTTTGCCTACTTATGTGAGACAGCTCTGCTCGCCAACATTTGTGGGGAGTCTGGTGGTGCCCAGTATTGTCTGTCATGCCGCCTGGTAACCAGGCTGGTGGTGGCCATAAGGCATCTGTAGGTCTTATCAACTTTCTGAACTGGCCAGAAAAGTCGTGGGGGAGGGGGGGGGGGCGCAGAGAGAGAGAGAGAGAGAGCCATCAATAAAACAAAATCAGGCGCTGAAAACTGCCGCGGTCGTCATCATTTTCGGCGACCGTGGTAGACTGCGCTCTGCCACCAGGCTGTGGCACACAGATAGTGTGTCTCCATGGTGGCATCCGTTACGCGCCCGGCTGTGTAGGCAACCCGCCACGCCTACCGACGACGCGGGTGGCCTTCCATACCGCAACGCGGCGCAGCGGTGCCGTGGGCCGTGGCATCATCGTTCCGCATGCCGCGACGATGTTGCGGCGGAGCGAACCTACAGTGCACAGTGGGCCAGACGACCGGTGGAGGCGGCCAAAACTCGAGACGCGTTTTGAGCTCCAGAGTCGCTGAAAGGGGCTCGAACCGAACGTGTGACCCCACCAATGGATTCCTCGTTCGGAGAGCAATCCATTGGTGGGGTCAAACGATCGGTTCGAGTCCTATTTAGCGACTCTGGAGCTCAAAACGCGTCTCGACTTTTGGCCGCCTCCACCGGTCTTCTGGCCCACTGTGCAGTGCAAGAGCCCCCCCCCCTTCCTGTGGCGAATCCATAGTTCAATGCTTGCACCGATTTAGGTACTTGACCGGCACCGCCAGGCTCTGGTGCTAATTTTACCCGCTGCCCCGCGGCCTTGACCCGCTGCCGCGGCTTGCGCGGACCGCGCGCCGCCCCGGCGAACCCCGGGGAGCCTCTTCCAGGATTCCTCCTGGAACAGCAACGCCTCGCAGTGTGCGCTGTGCGCATGTTCCACATTTACTGTGCAATGTTCCTATCTCTTCCCCGCCGGCCTGGCCCTGGCAGTGCCGGTCCCTCCCCCTCCCCCCTGGCCTGCCGGCCTGACACAGTGCGGGCCTGCCGCGGGGCTGCGGGCGCGGGCCGGGGCCCGGCCTGGTGGTGGGGGGCGACCGGCGTTGGAGGGGGACGCCGGCTACCCGGCCGGCTCGGCTCGGCTCGCTCGCAGTGCCGCGTCCGGAAAGCGCTTGCCGGCGTTTCGGGGGGCTTGCCGCTTCTCGCGAGGGACGCAGTGAGCCGGCCCTGTCGCGGACGCAGCCCGCTCGACTCGTCAGCGTCTGTCTCTCTCGCTCTCGCGCGCGGTGCGGCGGGGACCCGGCAAGCCCTCGCCACCCCTCCCCTCCCGCGCCCCGCCTCGCCCCGCCTCGCCCCGCCTCGCCCCGCCACGCCCCGTCGGCCGGCCGGCTCGCCGCGTCGCCGCCTGCCTCTCCCTCCCCTCTCCTCAGTCAACAGGTGTCCGCCTCTCCGTACGCATCCCTGCCGCCCCGCGCTCCGGCCGCCCCGCGCTGCAGCGAGCACAGCGACAAGCCCCAGCGTCCGACTCGTCCAGCGTGCACGCCGTGAGGCGCCCTCAGGCAGAGTTGCCTTGCCAGTTTCGCGAGTGCCGAGTGACTCCCCCAGAACACCATGTCCTTACAAGCCGCGCTGTTAGCAGCCACCGCTGTGTAGGAGGCCCTGTGTGAACGTGGACCCGCGTGTGCGTCGTTTTGGCGTTTTGGCTCACTTTGCGTGACTGTACCTTGCAATCGCGCCGCGTCTCCCTCCCTGGAGTGCTCCTTCCTCCAAGCGCCGACGCCGCCGTGCCGTTTCGGTGCTGAAAAAAGTACAGTCCGGGAAGAAAAGTCAATTTCTCGCTTGGAGGCGCCTGTGATTTTGTGGGAAAAAGTGTTGCGGACTGTGAAGTAGTTCGACAACCTCTTCTGGATACTTGGTTGTCACTCCCATTTTTTCCCGTGTCGTCATCGTCTTGGTTGAGTGAACGTGTCAAGCTGGCCATGGAGTTCGTGGTGGACAAGCCCTTCTATGACAGCGATCTCAAGGAGCTGTGGGACTCGGATCTCGAGCCGGTAAGTCCAATCTTTTTTCAGGGTTGCCACAAAAATGAAATTTTCATTTTCCCTGACTTTTCCCTGACTTCCAGACCCTTTTTCCCTGTTTTTCCCTGACTTTTTTGGGCCCTTTTTTTAAGCAGTCGGGTAGAATAAATGATGAATTTTACGAACGAAATAGGTGTCTAGAGGTGTCTAGTCCGTTTTTCCCTGACTCCATTTCATTTTCCCTGACTTTTCCCTGACTTCCCTGACCGTTTTCAAAATAACTGACTTTTCCAGGTTTTCAAGGTTTTCCAGGCTTGTGGCAACCCTGTTTTTAGCGGGCCGGCACGGCCGGCGGCACTTCACTGAGTCTCGGCGGCCGGGGGGCTTAGCACCCCGAATAGACACCTGTTTATCTCGCTGTATCTCCTGCAACCCGACCCAATTCGAAGAGACGTGACGCCTGTTTTCATATTTCGGCGCCGCTGACGCCGCTCGCGTCGGGGCGCTGGCTCCAGCCGGGCGGGGCGGGGCGCGTCGCACAGTGGGCCAGAAGACCGGTGGAGGCGGTCGAAATCCCGGACGCGTTTTGAGCTTCAGAGTCGCTAATTGGGAATCAAACCGAACGTGTGGCCCCACCAATGGATTGCTCACCGAACGAAGAATCCATTGGTGGGGTCACACGTTCGGTTCGAGTCCTGTTCAGCGACTCTGGAGCCCAAAACGCGTCTAGAGTTTTGGCCGCCTCCACCGGTCTTCTGGCCCACCGTGCGTCGGGGGAGTGTTTGCGTTCGGATTTATTCTTGTCTGCGTCTCAATAACGGCAGTAGCGAGTCAACAGCGACCCGCCTGGAAAAAGCGAGAGTCGATGTAAACACCTCGGGGCCCGGGGGCAAAGCAGAGCATGGCAAGCCGGGGCGCGGCGGGGCGCCTCGAGGCAACAGGATTAGTCACGCCCAATGGGATCGTCGCCGAGGTGTCCTGCCAGTGTCCTGCCCGCGACCACTGCCCCGCGACCTAAAAAAGACAATGGCCGCCGTGCGGCGTTCGGTCAGCGCGTCGGAATCGCGCGACTTTTTGGCCGTGCATTCCAACCAGCACAGTGGGCCGGAGGCGGGCAAACTCTGGACGCGTTTTGAGCTCCAGAGTCGCTGAACGGGACTCGAACAGGACGTGTGACCCCACCAATGGATTCCTCGTTCGGAGGGCAATCCATTGGTGGGGTCATACGTTCGGTTCGAGTCCCGTTTAGCGACTCTGGAGCTCAAAACGCGTCCGGGGGTGCTGCAGCTCAGGGTGGACGGGTTGAGCGACTGGCAGCGTGCGGTCGACGCGCCAAACCGCGCGCCCAGCCGCGCCACTGCCCGCACGTGCACGTGGTGCGCCGCCATATGCTGGCTGTGTTCGACGCCTCGCAGGGCGTCGCCGTCGGCGGCGTGCAGCAGACTGATTCCGAGAGTCGTTTTCGTCGCTCTGTCTCTCTCGCGCCTACTCGGGACGCCTCATGGGTGCGAGAGAGACGGAATGAGTCTGCCGCCGCCAGACACTCGCGTCCATTGGCCGCGCACCAGCCCGACGAGCCTCATCGATGGGTCCACTGATTGGCTGCGGCCCGGCCCGTCCCATGCCCGGCCCCGCGAGGTCCCCGTCGACCACGTGGTCGCGGTTCGCGGCGCGGTCCCGCGCACAGTGGGCCAGAAGACCGGCGGAGACGGCCAAACCTCTAGACGCGTTTTGAGCTCCAGAGTCGCTCGAACCGAACGTGTGACCCCACCAATGGATTGCTCTCCGAACGAGGAATCCATTGGTGGGGTCACACGTTCGGTTCGAGTCCAGTTTAGCGACTCTGGAGCTCAAAACGCGTCCGGGATTTCGCCCGCTCCACCGGTCTTCTGGCCCACGGTGCCGCGGTCGCCGCCGCTCTCTCCCATTTCCCCACCCCCTCCCTCTTCTATTGTAGTCGCGCCGTGCCGCCTCCCCGCCGGCCGGCCGCGCACCTTCGCCTAATGGCGCTGCGATGCCGGCGAAATAGAATATACACTTTTCTTCCGAGCTTGCGCGCTCTCTCGACCGCCAGGGAGCGCGCCGCGAGTGCGAGAGAGACAGAGACACTTCGCAGCAGGTGCCGCGCCGCCGGTGCGCACCGCGCCTCGTGTGGATCGTCGAGGAGCCGCGGAATAAAAAGAGGCTGTCGCTGTCTCTGTCGCACTCGCGGAGCGTGCCGCCTGCGGCCGCATGCCCGTGTGGGTGCGAGAGAGACAGCGAAGGTGGCAAGGCGCGCCACCAAGCGGGATGCCCGGCTCTGCCCGTGACGGCACAAAAAGTTGATTTGCAGGCGCTGCTACTGGCACGGTTCGGCCAGGCGGCCTGGTCGCACAGTGGGCCAGAAGACCGGTGGGAGCGGTCAAAATCCCGGACGCGTTTTGAGCTCCAGAGTCGCTAAATGGGACTCGAACCGAACGTGTGACCCCACCAATGGATTGCTCTCCGAACGAGGAATCCATTGGTGGGGTCACACGTTCGGTTCGAGTCCCATTTAGCGACTCTGGAGCTCAAAACGCGTCTAGAGGTTTGGCCGCCTCCACCGGTCTTCTGGCCCACTGGGTGCCGTTCGGCCCAACGGGAAACCGCAGCGTTTGGCAGATGGCGGTCAAATGGGCCGTGGCGCAGCCAAGCACAGCGCAGCCGGGCCGCATTTGACGCGCCAAGGGAATCCGCGGCGCAGATTGCCCCGCTAATTTCATTTTTCCGAGTCTCGTTCACTAGTGGCGTGGCGGATCAAGAGGTGGCCTTGGGGCGAGGGGTGACCGACCCACTGTAAAATTTTGTGTACAATGATTGTGCGAATGTGCAAGATTTCTGGCGTTTTTTGCTATAGTGATTTTCAGCTGAGTGTCTTGTTCGTTCCGTTGAGTTGCTGAAGACGTTTGCTAGCCTGTTTTTTCCTCAAGGGCTCTCTTCACCACTGCCTTATCTCCATTTGCTCAGGTTTATACGTAAAGTCACCTTCTGTGGGAGTGTGTGTGCGTGCATGTGGTGTGTGTGCGCGTGTGTGTGTGCGCGTGTGTGTGTGCGCGCGTGCCTGCGCTGGCTCAAGGGTGCCCGGCGTTGCCCGGCTGCGGATTCCGAGACTCGCTGTCTCTCTCGCACTCATGGCGCGTGCCGTAGGGGTGCGAGAGAGACAGAGCGACGACACAGCTTTGCTCTTGCTCGGCACGGGGTGACATTGCTCGCACCAGATAAAGAGGCCGTTTCTTTTGGCGTTCACCTTCTCTGTTGAACCCGAATAAATAAGTAGGTTAGGTCCGAGCGTCTGTCCGCCTGTCCGGCCGCGGAATGCCTCAGACAGATAGACAGACAGACAGACGGACAGACAGACAGGCAGACACACAGACATGCAGACACACAGACAGACAGACACACAGACAGACGGACAGACACACAGACAGACGTACAGACAGACAGACACACAGACAGACCTGTCATGTCGGACGGGACGACGCGTTGAAGCTGTAGGTGACCGCACAGTAATACTCAGCACAAGACGTGTGCTAATAGTCCGGGCGGGGCGTGGCAGGGCGTGGCGGGGCGGCCCCCTCCCCGTCTGCCCGAGGTCAGCGATCCCATGAGCTCATCCTGCGTGGAGCGCGCGGCCGGCCGGCATGCGCTGCTGTGCTCGGCGCGGCACCGGGTTCGACTCTCGCCGGCTCGCCGGCCGGCGTCTGGCTGCCAGCCCCGTCTGCCCGGCAGGCCGCGCCCTTCCCCGCGGATTACGCCGGACAAGGGTTTCCCAGCGGGGCGTGGCGGGGCGGGCGCCGGCTTGTAACGGACTTACCGACCCGTGTTTGTCTTCAATGTGTGTTTGCCGTGTGCGTGTTTGGCCGCTTGCAAGGGTTGCCGCCGCACAGTGGGTCGGAAGACCGGTGGAGGCGGCCAAAACTCTAGACGCGGTTTGAGCTCCAGAGTCACTAAATGGGACTTGAACCGAACATGTGACCCCACCAATGGATTCCTCGTTCGGAGAGCAACCCATTGGTGGGGTCACACGTTCGGTTCGAGTCCCATTTAGCACTCTGGAGCTCAAAACGCGTAGTTTTGGCCGCCTCCACCTGTCTTCTGGCCCACTGTGCGCCGTCGGGGGGGGGGGAAAGTTCGCCAATTTTTATGTTTTTTCCCGCCTCGCCTGGGATATTTCTACGAATCAACCTGACGATAGCTTACCTTGCGGAAGAAGACTGATGGTGACCCTTTGCCTTCGGCGAGTAACTGCAAAGCAGTTGGTGACTGTAGTATCTAAACCAACCTAGGCGGTGTGAAAGGGAACCGAGCCGCTGATGAAAGCATCCGAAGTCCGTTTCGCGTTGCTGATTGGGGAAATGCCTCGACCTACATTTTCTTTCGCCAGAAATCGTTCGGCCGTCCCCTTCGGGTTCCCTTCGGGTTCCCTTCGGGCCCCTTCCCTTCCTCGCGTCGGCGACGCACCTAGGTAAGCCCGCGCCTTGAGTGCGGGCCGCACCGCTACACCGCGTGGAGTGAAAGGAGATGACGAACCGCAGGAAAACTCACACTCACACACACACACACACGTGCCTACCTTTTGACAGGTGTCTGTCGATGGAAATCTCTGGCGGGTGATTGCCTCACTGCGATGGTTTTTGCCCGGGCTTGCGGCCAGCGGGCTCCACTCAGAGCGCGCTGCTTGTCGCCCTGTCTCTCTCGCACCGACACGAGACGCCCCACGAGTGCGAGAGAGACAGAGCGACGAAGACGACTCTCGGAATCAGTCTGCAGTGGCGGAGGCTTTGGCGCCGCGCCGGCCGCACGGATAGTATAGTCGGGCTCCGGAACTTCCCACCTGAGGCGCGACTCTGACTGGAGACTCCAGAAAAATCGCGACACTGCAGAAAACGCTCTGTCTCTGTCGCGCTCGTGGGGCGTTCCGCACGTACTGGGGGTGCCCTTCTAGTGCCTTGGAGTGCGCACAGCGTTCACCTTTAACGCAGTGAAGGTGTACTTGTGTCGCAGGTCAATGT